CTCTAGAACCCAGGTTCTTAATTACTATACTACTAAGCTCAATACTCTCTGTATCATAAAAACTGTGCTCCCAAAGATTTATTACTCTTTTTCTAAAACATAATGGCATGTTACTAAATATAACAAATTTTAAAAGTTATGATCACGCACTATGCACTATCATCCTTACCTAAAACTTAATAGCTCTCCAGTCATATTTCAACTACAAAATTTACAGTTAGGTTTTACATTAGAAATGTCACAGTACATCTGTATTTATTGTTAAGGTAATGAAGAAATCTTCTTCCATTACTCTTAAGCTATTACATTTCAACATCAAGTTTTAAATTTAATTTTGTGGTAATGGGTATATGAAAAATAAAGAGAATATAACATCAGTTAATGCATGATAACATCAGCATTCAGACTTTCTTTTTATTACAATGTACTGTAAACCTGAAACATTAAGGAGGATATGACAATTTTCCTCAAAAGCATCCTCATATTTTCTGCTTCTAAATAAGAGGGTAATTTAGCAAGATCATCTGGAAATCTTATTAAAATATCAATAATAAATTGATCCATTTTAATTTATAACCTATTATCAGTTGTTCCCAATACATTTTCTCTATTTCTTATGATTGATGCTTTTGATACCTTATTTAACAGAAAAATATTTTAATAGAGCAAATTAATAGGTATCACAGAAGAGTTGTGGAAACCGTGAGTAAAGCAGTAGAAGGAAATATTATTACCTTGATTTTCCAACATGGAAAGTGGTAACAAAGAAATGTAATGAACTGATAATATCATTACATTCCAATATACCTTTTGTATTTCCCTATGGAGTCTTCTAATTGTATCCAAGTTCTCAAGACTGACAAATAATGAAACATGCCTGAGATTTTAGTAGCAGGTTTACCGAAAATAGGTTGCAACCAGAACTGTAAGTTTACCAAACTTAAATAAACCCGTGTCTATCAAATTCAACATACTTAATCAGAATATGCAGGCATAAGCTCTTAGTAACAGGAAGACTTAAGTCACTTCTGATGCCAAGAGTTGGGATCCTGACAGGGGGTTCACTGTCCAGTACAGAACTAAAAAACAATGGTGGTTAACAGATACTACAATATTTTTTTTCATTTATTTCTGGGAAGCTAGTTCACATCCTGCTGCTCTTTGCCTCTCTATAGACAACCAACCAAAAATCTATCTTCTTAGTAATTATTAGTCTAAAATTGATGACAGCCTTAGTATCTGAAAATAAATCAACTCTCCCAGCCTCTTACTGCCCTCAGAAAATTATCTCATTTAGGAGACCAAGTATTTCCCACTTAAGACAGGAATTCTGTTTCCTACCTTATGCACAGCATTCACAGAATATAGTACTCAATTTATTGCTGGAGAAGCTTTTACAAAAAATCATTTTATCAGCTGTTCCTGATCAGTACTAGGAGTACTCCAAGTAGCCATTTCCTCTAAAGAAAATTCATTAGCAATTCAGTTTCAGAATGAACTGAGTAAAAAAGACAGTGAAAATATAACAAATTACTTAAACCATAGCAAAAAAAAAAAAAATAATCAGAAGTTACATTCCTCAGGAAAAATAGGCGAATAAGCCAAAAACAAAGTACTGATGACATGTTAGAATATTTTTTTTTGAACTAAGAAAGTATCTACACAGGGACACTGGAACAAAGGACATTTCACATTTAATCACTGTCAATATATACTGAGCTTGCCTCAGGATAGATCAGAATTGCAAGAAAATAACCCAAATGAACTAGAAAAGTTCAGCAACAAACTGTACTCATATTTAATAAGCACCAATAACCCTTAAGTAGTAGTTTTATATAGTTCCCCAAATGTGATTAATATGGAAACTTACTCTGTAAAGAATAAGATGATTTGGATATTATTATCAATGCATAGTGTGGATATCAATGACCTGTTAATTTGATTATTCTTGAATTTTAAAAAAGTTTCATGCTTTGTTCAAAACAGCTTCTTTTTAGGAAAATTTCACTCTTCCATTCTCCAATTCAGTACATAAAAGTAGATAATATTTACATTGAATTTACAGTCTTCTTTATTTAAAGGAATACCCCTATCCCAAATATTTTTGGAATAAAATATTTATCTAAATGATTGTTTTCAAACTTCACTATACTCAAAAATTAGAACACAGGTGTGAGTAAAATAAGCTTTGAAAAGAGTCCTGTCATTTCATTAATGGATTTAAACTGAATTTTATTTTATTTTATTTTTTTAGATAAGAGTCTTGCTATGTGGTTCAGACTGACCTTGAACTCACTAGGTAATCCAGGCTGGCCTCAAACTCATGGCAATGCTCCTGCCTCAGCCTCCTGAGTGCTGGGATTACAGGCACGCACCACATGCCTGGCCTTTTTGAAATACTGTACATCATGTAGATATGCTGAGCATGGGTCTCAGTCATTGTTGGGCTATATTCTATTACAGTATCTAGTGGGTAAGATATGAAATCATCATAGAATATTTAAAGAAATGTAAGACTTATACTAAGAAAACTAAAACCCATAAGTACTAGGCAAAGCTAACAATTAGACTTCTTCAATGTTCTTTCCACTATCACAAAAATCAGAGAAACTAATGTTTATATTTCAGGCATAAACACTGCTCTTAAAACAGTCTATCATCTGATTTGTGACTAAATCTGAAGAGCATATTAAACCTATGGCTAGTCAATTTCTCTGGCGAAGAGCCCAGAGTAAGACAGAACAATTTTACTTTCTCTTAAACATTCTGGAAAGGGGTGGGAAGAAACCATACCAAAGTAGGATGAGTTAAAATTGGCAATAAATCCATTACGGACACAAGTGGCACTAAAGTGAAATTTAAGAACATATTGCTTTCTGTATATACAAGTGTGACCTTATTGTAAGATGAGTATTTACAAAGACTCTAGAAAGCTATAATCATCTGATTAGAGACTTTAAATCTTGCCTGTGTCTCCATCATAGTACTTTGTCATCAGTAGTTTCACCTGAATATTTAAATAACTAACAATATTTTAAGTCCTACTTCTACTATCCAGTGGCTGCATACAGATTCACAAGTATTATAAGTGACATGATACAGACTATCACCTATATACTTTCCAGAATAATGACTCTGACTGAATAAAAACTGGAGCATTTGAACTTTGAAAACTTTCTTTTCAATTTCTAAATTATTCTTTTTTAGGACATTGCTGGAGACTGAATTTAAAGTAAAAATGCCAACTCTGAAAATTCTAACAAAAAAGGGGCTGCTTTAAAAAGACTAGTAAATACTGTTCTAGACAAATATAATAATCCAGTAGCACTTGACACTGACAAACACTGAACTTTCTTCAAAATCACAGGAGCTTCTATGGTAGCAGCTGCAACACAGAACACTATCACAGAGGCTAAATAGGACGTGGAAAAGCAAAAGTCAATTTAAGCCAATACAGTTCAAAAAGTAAAGTTAACAAGTAAGTTATACCAGAAAACTTGTAGGACAAGGTAAGCAGTTAAGTATCACAGCTGTAATAGATCCCTTAAGAATGGAAGACAACAAAGTAATTCTTATCACAACAATATACCAATCACAGAAAATAAATCATCCACATTCTAAAAGGTTTTCCTTGGGGAATTATGACGGGAGCATGTGAAAGCTTACAAAACTTATGATGTGAAATAAAGTAGGTTCAAATTAAGATTTCATAACAGAAAAGCTTTCCTTAAAATAAAAATATTTCCCTTGAAGGAAGAATGATTTTCCACAACTGGTTTATAAAGCACCTATGAAACTGTGCTGTCAGCTGTCACAATGGAGGTTTTGGATTCTCTTAGCAATTGCAGCATAACAAAAGGCATTTCACAGCATAACTTTAGGGAAAATGTTATCTAGTCTAAAATCACACAGAAAGCAATTAAAAATTTTTTTAATTATTCATAACACACAAATTTTTCTAGCTAGCAGCAGCTGCTCCTGTACTTGCCCTTTTGAAAAATATGAAACAGAAGCAATAGAGAAACAAAGGAGGTTAAGAGTAGCAGTATTAAATAAAAAAGCAAATACTTAAAAACATTAAGGAGAGTTTGAAATAAGGAAACAGTAATGTGCAACTTTCAATTATACCAAGTAAAGTGCACTGCTTAAATATTCACTGATAACATTTTCCCTGTTGAAAATGCACAATCTACTTAAATCAGTATTTTTGATATTTTAAAAAAAGACATTCACTGTTATAGCCCTGATAGCTATCTTCCAGTATTTTTAACCATTCAGATGTATTTTTGGGAAATATTTATTCACATAATTTTGCTTAATACATTTCTTTCTACACAAGATGAAATTAAAAATCTCTAAAACATTTTCAATTACAGTAATATCAATAAATTATAAATTAACAAAATTTTATATCTGCTTTAAAAATCATTTATCAAATGCTAACTTCCAGATTATCTGGAAAATTAAAGATGCACATTGCTATAAATCTGGCATCCTAATTAAATTCTGACTTTTAAAAGTATATAAAATGTCCCTCTAATTATTTCAAATTCTACTCCAGAAATTTTTATTTGACCCTTCTCATAAGTTATTAAGTTTACAACCTGCTAAACATTTTACCCAAATGTGGGAACCGAAAATGCAAAGCTCAACAAAATAATTATATATATGAAAAGAATAAACAAAAAATACCCGTTAAAAGAAAGTTACTGTAGCTGGCAGCACATAAAATTGGTAATCATATTTAAAAGTTGCATAGCTGCAAGATGATTTGCTGCTAACTACTGAGCAGTTTCATTTAGAAGGAAAACAATGTATTTCATAAATTGCAATTCTGTAATTACTTAAAATGTAATTATGTAACTTGATTTGCTCTTTGGACAGCATTCTGGTAATATTAAACCTTTAATTTAAAAATAGTAACATATTTTAGCTTTCCTATGTAGGTATCTATTTTCTACACTTGGTGAAAACAAAATGGAAGAACTTGAGATCATATATGGTCTGCATTCAGAGAGTGTTTTACTGCTTGATTACATTTCTTGGTTTTCACATTTAAGACTTTAGTTTATAAGAAGTAAATCATGTTGTTTTAAATTTAAGAATAGATGAATGTTGGGGGAAACAGATCCCAGACTAAAAAAAAAAAAAAACCAAAAAAAAAACCAAACCCCAGAACAAATCAAAACACAGCTAGTTGCGCAGCTCTAGAAAACTGAATAAAAAGTAAATCAACTTTTCAATCAGTTAACTTTGGCGTCTGAATACAAAATGTGGATCAGTATTAACTATGTAGATGACTACTGAGGGATGTGCAGCATTTTCAAAATCCCTGTGTGTCCCTTATATGCAAGTTTGGTACACTGAGTTCTGTGGTTACTGTCCTCTCTTCAGCAGGGCTATTTTCTTGTATGATTGTCCATTTCTCTATTACCAAGTCTCATAGAACTCAGATTTCTGGCTGAATAAGCCCATATTTTTATTTTTCAGAGACAGATCCTCAAGTCCTCTTAGATTTTTCAAGCATCGTGAAAAGACAAGAAAACCTGTGTAAAAACAGAAAAATTTATCTTAAACCATGGTCCATCATAGTAACACACAGATAAAAAAACAACATTCACTGCCCTATGAACACTGAACCACTGTAAAATATCTTCACTTACTACTCCAAAAGCTCTTAAACTAGTGTTCTATAAAGGAACATTTCAAGACACAAAAGGACCAGTCAAAGCTTAATATATCACAAAAGTCAGGCAAAACATAATACTAATTCCTCTTCCATTAAAAAAAAAAAAAACTGCATGAGTAAAGAGTATTACATATACATTCTCTCTTAAATTTTTAAAAATTTCCTCAAATAATTAAAAATTCCCAAAATGTAAAACTAAATAATTTCCTGATTAAGACCTCAGACATTTATATATTTCTGTTTTGGGCTGATAACTAAATTCTTATGCTGACAGATTTATACTGCTTTCTTTTTAATGTTTTAACAATGAACTCTCTTCAAATCTGTATGCTTTTTAATCTACGACAAGTAAAAGGATGGATAGAATTTATCACTTGATAAATACAAGTAGTCATAACAGAAGCAAAAATGTGAGTTAAGATATTCCATATCTATGGATTTGTAAGAATGACTCTTCAAGGTCTGTACAGGCAGACCCCATTAAGTTCAGCTCTCAACGGAAAGCTGACTTGATAGTTCAACCTGCTAGATACACATTCAAAACTCAGGTTCTCTGTACAAAAAAAGATATATAAGGAAATAAATGTTGTTCAAGACTAACAGATACACACTCCCCTACCCTGGTATTTGAGATTAAATCAGGGTGCCTTACCACTGAGTTGCATCCCTGGCCCTTTTTCAAAATTCTACTTTGAGATAACTACAGTCCTACTGCCTCAGCCTCTTGAGTAGCTGGGGTTACAGGCATGAGCCACTATGCCCAGCTGACATGTATTTATGATGTGAGATGTGTTTTCCATAAGCTCATTTCAAGGATGAGACCATGAAAGAAAATGTTTTATATCATAAAATTCCACTTCATATAAAAAAAAATATCTATGTACTGTATGGTCTGAATGTGTCTCCCCAAAATTTGTACGCTGAAAACTAATGTCTAGTACAATAGTACTTAATAAGAAGTGGGGCCTTTGGGAAGTGACCTTCAAGAATGGGACTAATGTCCTTATAGAAGATGGAGGGAGGCTACAGACCTTTCTGCTATCTCAGAACAACCAGAAAGTGCTGCAAATGAGGAACAACTCCTCACCAGATATTCAATCTATTGGTGCCTTGTCTTAGACTTCCCAGTCTCCTGTGAGCAGTAAGTTTTTCTTCATTATAGCAGAAGTATTTTGTAATAGCAGCTTAAATGCACTAGGACTCTAAAGGGGAAAAATTATTTGTAGCTGATTTAGATATGTTTGTTTCTGTTATTTTATTTTTAAGAGAAAAGAACAAAAGACAAAATAACAAAAACAAAACAATGAAAACGATACAGCGTTTCAAAAAAAGATAGGAAATTAACAATGCTTGTTGTATTACATATTGTTATCTTCAAAGTAGTTGCTCAGATTACCAGACACAGGCATGCAAGATTGATCAAACAACTAAAAATTAACTGTTCCTTTCAATAAAGCAATAGAAATTAGTAGTACAATTATCTTACCTATCTTGTTTGTGTGTGTGTATATACACATATATACATTTTCCTCTTTCCTTCTTTTCGTCTTTCCCTCATCCCAGTTGTTCTTTCCTTTTAGGCAGTTTCTTTCCCTTTCACAATATTTACTATACCTTTCAGATTTTATTTACTCTTTCAGGTTCTTACACCAGGGAGACAGTACAATGTTTACACATGCGAGTCTGATTTATTTCACTCATGACTATGGTCTCTAATTGCATCCATTTACCTATAAAAGCCTTGAGCTTATCTTTCTTCATAGCTGAGTAATACTCCATTGTATAAAAATACCATATCTTTTTTATCCATTCCTCCATTGATGGGTATTTGGGTTGTTTCCAAGATTTACCTATTACAAATTGCGCTGCTATACGCATGGGTGCACATATAGATTCAGGTGTATTTGGCATGTAAAATACTGATGTAAAAATTTCATTTTTTTAACATTGGCTCCAAAGAAGAAATATCATGGCAGAAGAGCATGGTGGAAGAAAGCTACTCAACTCATGGCATTCAGGAAGCGGAAAGCAGCCAGAGGAGGACCAGAGCACAGATCAGATATAGTTACCTTGGCCACACCTCTCTGACCCACCAAGAAGGTAATCAAAATGACAATCAAGATTATCACAATTACCTAAGAACACACCTAGGAATTCATGCTCAAATGTGTGGAATCAATTCCATTTGCTAGTGGCATAACCTTGCACTCTGGGTGCAAGGTGCCTCTAGTTATGTTATTCCTTTTTAAACCACTTTATTCAGATATGAGAGACATATGAAAACCTGTACATATTTCACATGTATAATTTGACAAGTCTGGCACGACTTTTTTTTTTTTTTTTTTGCATTTCATAGGCAAATGCTCTTCTCCCACTGAGCTAAATCTCCAATGTCTACAACTTGCTTCTTGCTGTCACAGAACTGAACTACTCTAATCCTCAAGTTGTACAATGGAAAGATGGGGCATGATATCTACCTCACATGGCTTTTTAAACTAGAAGTAAATGGGGTTTAAAGTATACCAAGAATTTAGCAGTTTCTCAACATCTGAATCTATTCAGAATGAAGAAAGTTGTTTAATGCTGTTTCTTCTTTTTTTGTTGTTTTTTCTTTTCTTTTTGGGGGATGGGGACTGGCAATGGAACCCAGGGTCTCACTGAGCAACATCTTCAGCCCCTTTTATGTATTTTTTAATGTGATTTTTCTACACAGTAGTCTAATATAGTGCCAGAAATACATACTAGTATACACACACAAACACAACAGGGATCTAAGAATATACCTTAGTGAATAAATGCATGAATAATACTGGTAGCTAAAGTGTAATTCAAGATGTTTTAAAAAGCGATTACAACAAGAAAGGAAGAATTACCTATAGAATAGGCATCTGATGCTTAATCTGAAGGGTGCTCAGGGCAAGATCTATTTACTTCAAACCATTCATCTATGCAGCTAGAAAAGAACGAAACCAGAAAAATTTAAACACATATGTCTAGTTCTTTATATCATGATATCCACAATAAAAATGTTTACTTTAATGTATCTTCAGAGGAAAAAAGGTCAATTTTAATGATCATATTTGGCATATAAATAGAAGATAAGCAAATGTTTATTATATTTTGATTACTCTAAGCCATTAAGAAAAAAATCTTTGCATAATAATGCTACTAAGTAGTTTAAAGCTTACACAAAACAATTCTTTCCTAATTTCAATTACCATTTTGCCAATATTCAAAATTAAAGAACTAATTTCAGAAAAATATTCTTTTCAAAATATTCTGCACATACAAACCTGTTCATGCCATCTATCAATGTAATAAAAAGAGCTTCTAAATTTTAATCACTGAGAACATAACACATTTATTTTAATTCTATCCCACTCTCTAATGCATAGACGTATACAAGCACACCATCATCCTTTTGCATTTATAGAAGAGTTTATGATCTTATCTTACTAGTTGAATATTAGGGTACATATAATCTTCAACGTAGATCTGTATACTGTCTATTGCAACAGTCAAGAGCCATATGTGATTATTTAAATTTATGAAGACTGAATTAAAGAAAAAGAATCCAGTGCCTCAGTCACTCTAGCCACATTTCAAGTGCTTACCAGCAACATGGCTAGTAGCTACTCTGGTAGACTGTAGAGATAGAGAAGACTTCCATCACTCTAGGCAGTTCTAAATCACAATGCTGTGATAGATAAAATCAAAGTCTTGAAAGGTTAAGTAGCTTGCTCAACAGCCAGTAAATAACCCAAGCAAAGTGTTCAACATTCTCCTTGGTGATATATGTCAAATTTGGATATGCCACAAAACCACAAGAATTGAGTAATATGTTGAAGAGCAAAGTTAATATTTATCATTCTCATATCCTCAGAGGTTGGTGTCGTAGGTAAAAAGAAAAAGAAAAAAGTAAAATACCTCATCTATGTTTTTTCCCCAGATAACTGAGACAATTTCTGTTGTTACTAAGACTTTTATTCTCAAACATATCCCTGACTAGGCTTAAGACACTGTTTTATTGCTCTCTAAACATCTGGCTCTAAGTCCCTAGTCTACCAGAATATCTCTCAGAAAAAGTAGTGAGAACTAAGCAAAGTACTCCCGATGCATAAACACAATTCACAAAGCATATGTATCTAAAATGCTAACTTCTTATTTACAACCATGTAACTTCAGTTCATCATGAGAAAGTAATCACTAAAACTCCAGGTTCTTTTCATATAAACTACCATCAATTCACATATTTTCCATTCTAAAATATTTTTATTGCTTATTTAAAATATGATGTTCTCTAGCAGGAAATATCTATCTTGAATTGGGTCCTTTCCATTCTTAGGCATTTTCTTATTCTACAATCATCCTTGTATGTGCTCTAAAACAACATGTAATAATGTTTCCATGTTTAAAAATTTATATAAATACTACAATGAATTACATTATGCCTGGGCCAGGGATATAGCTCATGGCACAAGTGCACGAGTGCCTGCCTGGCAAGCACAGGTCATGAGTTCAACTGCCGATACAAAAAACAAAAACAAATAAAAACCCGTAAACCAAAAAGCCCACACAATACCTTATGCTTTTTCTAAACCTGCCTTTTTGCTGAATTTGCAACTGTACTCATTTTTTCTTCTTTTTAGTACCAGGAATTGAACTCAGGACCTCGCACTTGCCAGGCAGGCACTGTGCCGCTATCTCCCTGACCCTGTACTCGTTTTCACATTCTCATTGTACAGAGTATTCCAGCTGGTAAGTGTATCAGCATTTATATATTTATACTTTTACTGACGGACACATTCAATCATCTATGGACATTCTTTATTTTTTTTTTTTTTTTGGTTTTTTCTCCGATACCGGGAACCGAACTCATGACCTTGCGCTTCCCAGGCAAGCGCTTTGCCGCTGAGCTAAATCCCCAGCCCCAATGGACATTCTTTAAAAGGTGTTTGCACCAGAATATAAATTAACTTTGTCTCTAACACAGTTTGAACTGACATTTAAAAAAAAATTATACTAAGTCTTTCTCAATGAAGGAAGCACTGTGTTGATTTCTGTCCTGGCCTAAGGTCCTGACCTCGCTCCTCCTGGTCCTGCTTTTTGGGTAGAGAGTTGTTTTAGAAAGATTAGGAATTTTTCTAGGGCATGTATCTGGAGGTAGAACTATAGAGTTGTAGCATATACACTGCACACAACTATCATAGCTATCCATCAAATACATCAATTTATATTAGGCATATGGGGTTTCCTTTTTCTGAACTGACTTAACAGTTAGGATTTTTATGTTTTTGTCTTTTTGAGACAAGGTTTCACTGTGCAGTTCAGGTTGCACTTGAACTCGCAGTGATCCTCCTGCCTTGGACTTCCCAGTGTTGGGATTACAGGTGTGCGTCACCACACCCAGCCTGACTTAATTTTTACAAACTTTCTATTTGGATTTTTTTTTTCTTGTACTTCTCGGAAGTTATAATCTGGGTATTTCAGCTAAAAATATATATGTTTTTGACATGTCTTGCTTTTCATATAATTATACACTAAAAGTAAAAGAGTTTATAGGGAGGAAAAAAAAATCAGACTAAAGGTACACTATTCACATAACACAATTCTGTAACTAGAACAAAAACATGTTCATTTCTAGCAAAAATATTACTGTATATACAGGGTATTTTTTTTAAATGGTAATGTTTACCATCAGAGAAAGAGGATTAGGAAGGATCAAGACTGGTAGGTTGTGAAGACAAAAGACACACATGAGAACTGTGAGATAAGCACTTTCAAACCCCAGAGCCTAACTTAAGAGTAAGAATATCGGGAGACAGTATCTTTTCAGTAACACTCTATTATTCTATGGCTTGCTGTGTTAATATGTTTTCATTTGCTGTCACCTTATGCATCAAAACTTTAGTGCACTGGGAAATATTACATATGTAAAAATCATGTCATCATACTGTCTTCATTCTTCCATTCATAAGCAGTAAGTACAATGAATTAACATGTTACAAAAAGCAACTGAGAGTATTATTTCAGACACAAAACCTTTGTCATTATATATACTGAAAACCACTCCTAGTCTAAGGTCTAGATCTTATTTTTTCAATGTCATGATGCAAGTAAGTTTAAAATTTTAATACGGTTAAATTTATGGATCTGATGTTGCTGTTACTGTTTTGCAGGGGGTCTTAGTGAGAAAAATAACATTTAGCAAGCACAGTGATACAAGCCTAGACATAATCTCAGCCACTCTAGAGGCTCAGAAGGATCACACAGTTCAAGACCAGTATGGGCAACTTTAGAAAAATGCATTGAAAGAAAAAAAATTTTAAAAGGGCTAGGGATATAGCTCAATAGAGCTCTTGCCTAGCATGCACAAAGTACTGCAAAAAAAAGAAAAAAAAAGAAAAAAAAAAGAAAAAGAAGAAGAAAAAATCTTAGCAAGAGATCAAAGACATTTTCCTATATTCTCTCCTCAGTACTTTAGCTTTTGATTTTCACAGGTGGTATTTAGGCAACCTGAACTTGATTTTATCTCAAATGTAGGCCAGGGATTCAAATGTTTTGCTATATCAATAACCAATTCATCCCAGCGCCATTTATTTAACTGTTCATTCTTTCCCTACTACAGTTTGCTGCAGTCTATTGCATTTCTTTCTCTACTACCATTTCTGGCAAATCAAATTTTTTCATTTATTCTACAAATTTTTATATAGCATCTATTAATGCCAGCACTTTCCAAAATTTAACTCAGTTACTGCCCCATAGGTACATGAAGTTAGAACTATCTTCCTTGTCCTAATTGATCGATGGAAGAGCTGGGACACAAACCTCAAAAGCTCTGACTCCAGAGTCTAACCCAGTCTTAATCCTATGCTACTGTTTCTCCACACAACCATGGTTCACCTGTGTCATTTCCACACTATCTTAATAAAGTCTTCTAAATTTGAATAGGACAACCCCCATGGTGTTCTTTGTAAGCATCTTCATAATTCTTAATTTTTTGTTCTTCGGTCCATACGTATTTTTATTTTTTACAGTACTGGGCTGGGGATATAGCTCAGCGGCCTAAGCACCTGCCTGGCAAGCACAAGGTCCTGAGTTCGATTCCCGGTCCCCGCCCCCCCAAAAAAGAAAGAAAGAATACAGTACCGAAGACTGAATCCAGGACCTTTGCATGCAGCTACATTCCTAGCCTTCATTTTCCTTTACTTTGGTACAGGGGCTTGCTAAGTTGCTCTGCTGCTCTCAAACTTATGATCCTCTTGCCTTAGTCTCCTGAGTAGCTGGGATTACAGCTGTGACCACTAAACCCAGCCTATATGTATTTTATACAATCATCTTATCCGGTTGGAAAACTAGTGGAAAACTAGTTGAGATCTGGTTGGGATAATATTGTCTATCTGTATTAATTTAAGGTAAAATGACATTTTTATGACACTGAATTTTCCTGTACATGGTATGTTATACTTCACATTTATTTTAGATTTCCTGTTATGGCTTGTACCTAGATATCCACTCAAAACCTCGTATGTTCATAGGTGGGGCTTTCTGAACATAGCTGGGTCTAGGGTGTATGATGCTGTGATCAAGAATGTGAAGCTGGGATTAAGGCTACCCTAAGGGCGGGTAGCCTGGATAAAATATGAGACAGGAAGAGGACTGGTGTGGTCACTGCTGGTTGTTGCTACTTGCGGACTGTTGCTTGCTGCCTTCTATCTGCTTGTTTTCTAATGCCCTCCTGCTTTGGAGTCAGACAACTATGAACTGAAACCCTTACAAACTGTGAGCCAAATAAACCTTTCTTCCTTTAACTTTGGGTGTCAGGTATTTTCTCTCAGCAAGGAGAAAAGTAAAAAGATACCTTCCTACCAAGTTTTTAAAGTTTCTGTAAAAGAAAGATTTGCAAATATCTTACAGCTCTTGTAGTTTGTTACTTTAAATATTATTTAAAGAAAAGCTCCATTTTCTTTTTTCTTACTGGATACGAATGCAACCAATTTCCACATGGTAACCCTGCTTGGTTCTCATTAATCTTAATAATAATTTATCTATATTTAACCTTAGCTTTGGTTTTAAAAAATCAGTAATACATAAGCACAGAATTTTATTGAAAGCCCTCTCACATAATTACTAAGTTAACAGCCCTTCTCTTTTAGTTAATGTAATTAATGCAAATTTATATAAACTTTCTAGTTTCATAGTATTTTTCATTCCTAGCATAAATCCAATTTGGTCAAAAAGGATTGTTTTACATATATATTATTAGGTACATATTACTAAATTTGGTTTCCTAATGTGTTTTTGGATTTTCTACATCTATGTTCAAAAATGCAGAGTGTCTTCTCTTCTAATTTTCTTTGTCTAGCCCACCTCTAGTTTTGGTATCAAGTGTATAATATTCCCATAAAATAAATGGGGAGAAACTTTCATTTTTTTCCTATTTTTAGAAGAAGTTAAAAGTTGTTAACATGGTAGACTTTGATGTTTGGCACAACTCATTATCAAACTGTACCTGAAGGCCTGTTTTCTAGGGTTTTCTTTTAATGTTTACTGTTTTGCAAGGTTAGTCTGAACTACTTCAAACAGTTTGGTCAATTCAGGATTCCAATGTCTTTTTGATAAAATTTTTCCAATTACTTTAAATTTCTATTGTATCATGCCCCTCTTTCTCTACTGCTTATTTTTTCCTTCTAGAGGCAATTATATTATTAATTTCTCCTAAGAAACACTTTTGATTATGTTGGATTCTAATGTGTCACTTTTAAATTTCATTATTTTTCTTTAATCTTTATTATTTTTTTTGTGTTTATTCTGCTGATACTTTCCTAATTTCTTAAATACTTCATTTATTGATTTCAACCCTTCTATCCACTCTAACATGAAACTTTTCTCCCCAGGATCATTCTAATACAGGTCAAAATTTTTTCATTATTATTCAGTTCCAAGAGTTTTCTAAGTTCTATCTATCATGATTTCTTCTTGGATCTATAAATTACTCAGAAGTGTATGTGAGGATCGTTTCTTTTTATTATTGATGTTTAACAACAGTAGTTATACAGCCGTATTCTGTGTGGTTTCAATTCTTTCCAGTTTTCTAAGATCTGCTTTATGGGCTGAGACATGATCAATTTCTTTTTTTTTTTTTTTTCCTGGTACCAGGAATTGAACTCATGACCTCAGGCTTGCCAGGCAAGCACTTATGCCACTGAGCTACATTTCCAGCCCGACATGATCAATTTCTATGATACTCCATGTGTGCCTAAAAAAATGTACAATGTATTGTAATTGCTGGGTGCACATATACATATTATTTAGATCAAACCTGGTAAACTGCATTGCTTGATTTTTCTAGAAAAGAAAATGGAGCTTTTCTTTAAATATTAAAATTAACAGAAACTACAAGAGCTGTAAGATATTTGCAATTTGTATGCATCCACCTGATTAAAAGAGAACTCTATTAAAACTTCCCATAAAAAAAAAAAACTTCCCATTAAAAAGATAGATTTATCAATTTGTTCTGTCAGTTTTATAAGTATTTTGGGATTGTGTGCAGTATACAAAAATAGAAGTGCATATAGTTCTTATAGTGACTCTATTCCTTTTAACACTTCTCCTACTTAGTTTACTTTGCATCTGTTAGTTTAGCTTTGTCTTTTAGTTATTTCAGTAAGTCCTTAACTCATAAACATTCAAGTTGTGAACTTTCACATACGAATGGTCCTCACATTATGAACATCTGTAGACGTGAATAAATTGTGAAAGCAGTTCACGTGCCTGCTGGACATTGTCACAATTGTGCTGCTATGTGTTTACTGTACAGGGAGGTAGTATACAGTAGTGCAGTGCTCAATCACAGCCCAGGGTGTCTGGAAGCAAGAGGAAAAGTAGTGGTGATATGAAGGGGACTGACAGGAAATGCAAAGCAATAACCAGGGAAACAAAAATGGAAATAATTGAGAGAATGAACTGAGATCAAAAGATGGCAGACACTGCTCATTCTTATAATATGAATCATGCAATCACTGGCACAATTCAAAAGGAGAAGGACAAAATCACAGAGCATGTAAAGTCTGCTGTGCCAATGAAGTCAACAAGAATATCCAAAAAGCATGATAAAGTAATAGAGGAAATGGAGAAACTTCCCAGTGCATGGATGCAGGGTCAGCATCAGCATGAAGTCCCACTCAACTTAATGCTTATTCAACAAAAAGCTTAAACACTTACTGAATTCATGGAGGAAAGACAGGGTGAACAGGGTGCATCTGTTACCTAAGACTCATTTTGTTGGAATTACTGTATTTGCCTGGACATAGTTTTCTATACTTTTACTTTCCTATTTCCCTATATTCTTATGTTTAATTGAATTGCCTATAACAATATATCCCAACTCTTCCATCAATTTTAACTTGGTGAATTTGTTCATTAAAGACTTACTGTTATTATAAATATATTTGGATTTATTTTTATCTCCTGTTACCTCTGCCTTTTTTCCCTATCCCAACCTCTAAGTAAAATTCCAACTTACTTCTTTCATGGATTTGAAAGCAACACTTTTCTATTTTTTGTGTGTTTACCTTAAATCGTCGGGAGTTTTTTCATTTCTGAATCTAAAATCTTTCTTATATAATTCTGAAAGCAGAAAGAATATTAGAAACCAGATGGATTTGGAGTTAAGCACATTCCAGATCTGCTGAAATCTCAGCTCTGTCATTTTCTAGAAATATAACCATGGAGAATTCTCTACTGCTCCTTGTCTTATATTCTCAGTTATAAAATGTGGCTTTTACACAGCATATATTAGACAACCTATTTAAGAACCTATGGACAATATCTGCAGGCCCGGGATACAGCTCAGTGGCAAAAGCGCTTGCCTGGCAAGACTGAGGTCATGAGTTTGATTCCCAGTA